ATGTAACCTATAAGAATATTGGCTCTTGCCCCTCATCTGGTAGTATGACATCACATATTAGAATCTGAAAACCACAAATGCCATGTTTATTATATATAATTGTGTACAATGCAAACAAGTGCATTTTTTTATTGACAGAGTTCCAAACAGGTGCTCTTCATACATTACGTTGCCCTCATTTTCATTAGAAGTGCCTAAAAATATTAAGATCGTTTCCACTACAGCAAGTTGTTTTTTATACATTGCATAAGTGGACAGACTGATATCAAAGATATGGTGTAGGGTATCCAGTTAGCTCTATTTATAGACTGGCTCAAGATCTGCCTGATCACTTCAGATAGGCTTTTAACAACACTAGGCCTAGATGAAGGCTTATTGACAGAAAGTAATAGCACAGGTTTGAATTACACTTAATTTGAACACAGATAAACACCAAGTTTCACCATTATGTTTAGATACAAAACAGTGTAAACCAGTGCATTACTAAAGAATTATACACTTCCCAGTCACTTTGGCTGCATCATGTGGAACTGTTTTGCTCTCTTCTTTCATCTCTTCAGTTGACACTGTGGTTACTTTTTCTGACACATCTGCCTCGATTTTTTCATTGTCTTCTCCAAAAGCTATATTCTCTTTTTGGGAATTTGACTCACTTATTGTTTCTGGCTCAATTTCTCCATCATTTGTGTCATCACGTGTTATTGTATTTTGTGATGAGGTGGACTCACTTAAGGGCTTGCTTGTGTCTTCTCCATCACCCTCATCAGCTGTCTCAGCTGGGGAAGCTGTTTCTTTCTCTTCCTCACGGTCCTCTTTTGCACCAGCTTCCAACTCCTCTTGTATGTCAACAGGAATAAGAGGTGCCAAGTCAAGGCAAACCTTCTGAACTGGTGAGATTTTATGCCTTGGAGAAGCAACAGGCAGTTGCAAATCCATGTCTTGTAATGGTTGTTGATGTGGATGCACGCTGTCTTCTTTGTCACTGACAGATATAACATCATCAAACGCGCTTTCCCAATCAGGATCATCAACTGGAAATTCAACAAGTGAATCTGTTGTGCATTCTGGTACCTTTTCTGTCACTATTACAATTTTTTTGTTCTTTTCTTTATTTTTTGTTGCTGTTTGTTCTTCATCCTCTTCAGCCAAACGAGACAATGGCTCAAACGTACATGGAGATGAATCGGCACTAGATCGGAGGAAGTCTGTTACTTCTTCCTCAGAATCTGGTATTTGAATTTTTTCTGGTTTGGAAACCATTGTTTCAAATCCATAGACATTTTGAGATATTATCCGTGGTGCATCCTTAGGACATATAACATTTTCATTTTGCTGTACTCCTAATACGGGTGTCTCATCTATTAGCACATACTTTTCTAAGTAACCTCTGGCCTCTCTGTCTGAATGCCTACTGTGAAAGGATTTCTCAGAGGACAGACTCTCTGTATCTTCTTCCTTTTTTCGACTTCCTGTTGCTTCTTCATAAAGATCTGTGTAAAGAAACGCCAGAGCTTTGGGCTCTTCTAGCAAAATGGGGTCAATAATCTTTGGTGGTCCTTCAGGTAGATAGATCGGAGTTAAGATATCTTCTTGGCTTCCAAACAGTGTGGCACCAGTTGGTTTTAATGAAAGTCTAGAGGGTACACGTTTACTGTCATCAGCTTTATTAGATGTTTTACTGTAATTGTCAGTGTTGCCATAGAAGACGTCATCCAGCAGCTCACTAGTCATTTCTACCAAACTAATGTTGTCTGCATTTTCCTCATCTACAGATAATGTTCTAGTGTTGCTGTGGACGTAAGCCTTTTCATTGTTCAGAGTTCTATCAGTTTCTTCTACTTTATACTGTTCTTGTTCGGTAACAGCAGGGCTCCCTGGAGCCTGGGCATCAATCAAGGTGAAGGCTTCAAAATAATCCACATTAGTGGGTTCCCTTGATGAGAGTTTAGGTATTGGGGCTCCTGGTGGATCCACTGAATGCGCACTGGTAGGTGAACTAACTGCAGCTCCAACAACTGAATGAACTGGTATTTGAAGCTCCTCATTCTGCAGTTCAAATATTTGATCCTGGATTTCCTCATTAGCTTTAACAACTGTACTTGCCTCCAAATACGACAAATTGTCCTCTATTTCTTTGCTCTCCTCTTCATCTACTGTCACCATTTTGGATGGGACTATAATGTTTAGAATCTCCGAACCTTCAGACACCAGCCTGAATAACTTCTGCTCTTTATCTGCAGATGGATCACTGACCTCTTCCTCACCTTCATCTATATCTGCTTTGAGATTGGGTTGGGAGAAACCAACAAGTTCTGGCCTACCAGAAATGTTGTCAGAACTTCCTGATATTATATCTTGTGGCATGCCCCCTTTCCCTTTAGACTCATGTCCTTTTTCTTTTGTCTTCTTTTGTCTTGAGATTAACTCTTCATCCATGACAAAAATGATTTTGCCAGCTGAATAAGTTCCTGATGGAATAGGGCCTGCGGCTCTAACTGTGCTGAGGTCTGAAGAAAGATTTCCAGCCTCAGATGCCCATGGTGCCATGCTTGGAGTTGTCTCCCACTCAATGCCGCTATCTTCGCCTTGCATGGTTACCATGGAGAAGGATGAGTCCATCATTAGACACTGCATCTTTGGTTGAACGTTTTCATCATGGACAGCCTCAAGGAAACTTGGGAAAGTAAATGAAAAGTGCAAATAATTATAAAGGCATAAAAGCAGATCAATATATCAATCATACAATTTAAATATCTTACATGTCACACGCTAATGAGATAATAATAAAAATGCTTTTTTAGTTATATAATCGACTAGTTTTTCCAGTAAGTTCTTTTACCTATTTTGTAGATTTTCCACTTCATCGCAACTCTCAATGTTCTCTTCAGATTTATCTTCATGTGTCAACATTGTCATTTCTTCTGGTCGTGAAAGTTCTTCTGTACATGGATCCATTGTTATAGTTGTAATTTGTTCTATCCTATCCTCCCTGCAAGGCGAAGCAACTGCTCTGTTCTAAGCAGCTGAGTTTGACACGAGTTTTCATGCTCAGCGTAATCTTGAAATAGAAGTCTTACAGTGTTTCAGCTCAGGTATTTGCTACGCGTAATGACTAATCCATCATCTGTTTATGTACTCAGAATTATTGTATTTAAGATGCAGTACAGGTTTTTGTTGTTGTTAAGTCTAAATATACTGGATTGTGAATGAATGAATGTATATTATTTCTTTTCTATAATAATAAGCGAAAATAAATGTCACGCAGATTTTACTTAACACAAAGAAAAGCTAAATTGATTATGAATCCATGCCAATATGTATTCCAACTTGGATATTAAGGAATTTAGTACAGTTACACTACATTTTTGAGGGTGCATGTTGTAATTATTCTTACGTAGGCCTGTACAACATGAAGCCGTCAGTTGCACAACTTGACAAAATGGGCTTCTCCAAAATAATACCATCTATTATATATAGGCGATAAATTGCCCATGACATGAGATGTAAACCTACCACTGACATACCTACTGCTAGTAGACCGTAACACTCAAACGCAGACAAATGCAAATTTAGTTTGCTTGCCCTATCTCTAAAAGAAATTCACAAATAAATTCGAGTACGTGAATCCAGCTTTGCGTGGAAGTTCGGAGCGAGACGTGATGACGTTTCTCGCTCTTCTGATGAATGAAACCGTGGATGAGACAGATCAGAGTCATTGTCCGCATACACGATTATGATACCTTATCTTTCAGTGTATCTTTATTATCGGACGTTTTTCAGTATACAGTTACACATTTTTGCTTGAATGGCGGTTCTTGGTGTCAACCACACAAGGACAGTTGTGAAGATGGTAGAAGTCACCCTGCTGTATGTTTTCATAAAAACATCGGGGATGAATGATTTTTGTAAAACATGAAGGCTGTGTTTATGGTAGTGGGACTGGAAAGACCGCTTTTTGGACGTGTAGTGATCTGATGGCAAATTGGACGCCAGGAAACCACCGAACTGGATTTATAATCGTCAACGGGTTCATTGGTATGCAGGAATAGACGACGACATGTTACATCTTTAATATGTAGTCTGCTTTTCCATCTCCGTCCCGGTCACTTTTGTTGGTGTGAAGTGGACAGTGACACAACTGCACAGAGGACGGGGACAGCTATGGCAAGTGTGGAGAAATGATATCGACGACGAGGGTTGACTCTTGTGCTTCACTATTTGCGTTCAAAACGCTTTTGCTTTTAGCTTGGATGCTTCCAGTCTTTTGTGCTCCGAACAAACAACTTTTCAATCTCGAATGGCCAAACATCTCAATCATACAGCATCTAGAGCCGTCCCGTTCATCTCGTTAATCCTCAAATGTGAATAACTGTAGTAGGATTTAAGCTAACTGCTGCTAGCGCCTTGACTATCCCCGCTCATTGGGCATTCAGTGACACACACATTTGCTTGGACCAAACAAATCTGTTATTTTATTCAGCTAAAGCCGGAGGGGACAAGGAATGACCATGTCGGACTGAAAAGACCCCAGTGGCTCTTGAAAAGTCACTGAACCACTGGGTTTAGTGGCTAAAAGGGGATCAAAAGCTGACGCTAGCCTCCACCCGGTTCACACCGTCCTCAAGAGACCGCCAAGAGGATCACTTCTTCTCTGTTAGCTACCATATTCTGCAAAATGGGGTATGTAATTTAGGGCATGATTAAAAATCTCAAGGGACCGGGTAAACAGTGGATATACACAGGCAAAACAGAAAAAATCCAGCAAAGCACCACTACTGTACAGATGACAGTTGTAAAATATCCATATAAACTATTTGAGATAAACATTTCTATAGCTCTACTGTGAAAAAGGCTTCAAGACCATGTTATGTGCTCAATCCTCATAAATACCAGACACATCTAGCACAGCATCTGACATTTTAGATTACAGGAACCAAAAATGAATACTGTTGGATGTAATAAAATAGGCTATTGTGTGAGTAATTGCATGGCTGCATATTTTTAATATGCGTCTCCATAAAAATAAAGTGAGATGCTGTTTCTAGTGCTGCCAAAAGCAGGAAAATGTATCCAAGACTTTCCTATGGAACGCAATTCTTGTAGTGTATAGAAACCTGCAGATGTGTTGTGATCCTTCTGGTCAAAAGCGACCTAGTTCTCTACATGAAAGCAGATGATGTAGCATGTGATTGGTTTGTTGTCATATTGTGGTTGGGGGGTGAAATGCTTACCTCCTCGTGCAAAGCAGTAAGTCTCAAGATCTTATAATCCAGGCAGTATATCAATATCTCAGATAAAGACAAGCGTATATGTTTGCATTCAGCTCCTAGTTAGTAACAGATTTGTGTGGTAATGAAGATTGTGCTTTTGTGTTTAATAGCCAGTAGTATTCCTTTATTTATTCTGACAATTTAGAACAAAATATGACACATGATGGTGCCATTTTTTGTTATTGTGTAATGCTGTGTGTTTTGTTAAAAACCTGTAGTGTATTGTCAATATGTCAGAAACAAGCGCTTCTCTATGAGCTTGTTTATGGCAGATGGACGTTATGAAGTGGACAGTGACTCTGAGCCAAGTCCTGCTGCTTTGCTGTGTGAGTGGGTTAACTGATTGGCACACTGGGATGAGATTGGGCTCAAGAGCACGTGGGAGCATCAGGGAGCAATGTAGCTGGAAGATATTCAGTCCTGAGTCACATAGCTGTTGCTATGACAACACTTCAGATAAGTTAGTAATGAGTTAAGTTTGATGCAGCTGTGAACAAATTAAATACTATACATTTTATGAAACTTCAAAGGATTATGGTGTACCAAAAGTTTTACAGTAGCCTATCAAGTTTTGCCAGACCATAATTGGTGTTTAAAGCTATGATAATAAATCTTAAGTTGTCATTTGAAAAATCTCAGCCCTCAAGTGGCCATACCTCAATTGCAATTTATGGCTTAGAGCAAAGAAGCTAATATTTTTACCACAACTAATTATTATTACAACTAAACAACTACACTAAGTTGTTTTGTGGCAGAGTGTCCATCCATTGCAAAATTAGTTGCAATGGATTACAAACAACCAACCTAACCAAAATCATTGGCACCAGTGAGACATAAAACAAACATTACTATTGAGATTTAAAAAGTAGTTTATGAATACTTTTGGACAATACTGTAACAACAGAAAGTAGGATCTACACAGAATCTGGACTCAACCCCTTCTTCAGACCTTTGGTTATGGACCGTCCATGTTATTACATTTTGGGAGTGGACTAACTGTATGTTGACCAGTGTCTGTACTGCCTTAGTAAATCAAGGCATCCCAAACATGAAGCCGGATGAAAATAAACCAGCACGTTTCTGTTGACCAAATATGTGCCACAGGCTTGAAATCACTAGGGCTGATAAGTTAATTAATTATATGTTTAAGTATTAATTTACTAATCTGCTAATCTACTGCTGTTGCCAATGTAACCTCTGACCACCACCAACAAGCCCCTCTCTCTGACTATAATTCACACTAGGCAAGCTGGTTGAAGGGCCTTGTCCAAGGACACATCTACAGTATCTTGTTTTATACAGTAGAGGAATACATGAACACTTTTATATTCATGTGGAAATACCTGAACTAAATAAACAGTTACTGAAATAGCAGTTATACTGGGGAATTTACATGATCACATCTAAGAATATGTATAAGGTATAAACTGTGAAGAACAGATTGGTGTTGAAAAGTAGTTACTGCAGCCTGCATAATGTACAAAGCAAAAGTTCTAATAACACACACTTAGAATTCGTGGTACTTCCTAATTTTTTTTTGTTTTGTTGACAGAGAGCAACCTATCTTCAGTACAAGGGCCCATGTCTTCCAAATTGACCCCAGCACCAAAAAAAACTGGGTTCCTACAAGTAAACATGCTGTTACCGTCTCCTATTTCTTTGACAGTACAAGGAATGTGTATCGGATCATCAGTCTGGAAGGGTCTAAGGTGGGTGAAGGAAACAAAAATTGTATATTTAATTATCTGTAACCTAGAATAGTCACTGTACAGTTTTAATTGTATGTCTCTAAATAAATCTAATGAGACTAGTATCCAGCTATACCATAATAAAAATGTAGGTGCATTGTGTAACTTTTCAAATGCTTTTCTCCATGGAGATGGTATTGCTTTGTCTGGAATGTTTAAGAGTATGGTATTAAAACCAACTAGACCAAGTTAAAGGTCAGATCTCTGGAGAGGCAGCCCCAGTCACAGTCAGAATGTCTGTTTTTTTAGGTGTTTTTGAGCTATAAAATCGCCTGTAATTGAAATAAGTGTAAGGTAAAGCTGTTTACAGAGCATTGGCATATCCATAGAAACAAGCAGGTGACCGACCACCAACCAAAAAGTCACATAGTGCACCTTTAAATGAGCTCTGATTAGTTACTGATAGCATCATCAATATGCCTTGATCTCAAGTGGTGCTCAACAGTCCTGTCTGCCTCAAGAAATGCTCTAGTTCTGGAAGTAAATTTGTCATTCATCTTCCCATAGAAATGAAGGGAAGTTTGTTTTTTTGTTTTTTTTGTGGAAGTGGAGTGAGATTTGAAGGGACCTGTCATTGCTGTGCTTAATTTCAGGTGGTGCTTGTTTGGTTACACATACTCTAGACAGATATACAATATTTCTTCAGTGAATAAACCACATGTTGGTAACCCCATGAAATGAAGCCAAAAAGAATGGTAAAAAAATAAATCTTTGGCTTGGACTTTACTTTTGAGTGAGCCCAAGCCCCTTCGTTGTCTCCCACCCTTACATTTGAGTTTCACTAGAACTGTCCTATTAAAACATTTATTGTTGGTTTTATGTATGTTAATTACTTTATTATTAATTCTTCTCCCACAGGCCATTATTAACAGCACCATCACACCAAACATGACTTTCACAAAGACCTCTCAGAAGTTTGGGCAGTGGGCGGACAGCCGGGCAAACACTGTGTACGGGCTGGGGTTTTCATCAGAGAGCCACCTGGTCAAGGTCAGCGGGGTCATGCCTGGATTATACTTCATACATTCTGAAGAATTATAATAGAAGTATTATAAAAAATAATCAAATTTTGTTTTTATAGTTTGCTGAGAAGTTTGCAGAGTTTAAGGAAGCTGCACGTTTAGCCAAAGAGAAGTCTCACGAGAAGACTGAACTAAGCAGCACTCCCTCCCAGGTAACGTATTCACTACATCTTGATCTTGTACATGCCACACTGCACAAATGGTTTTGGTGAGCTGTGTTTTAATAATACTGACTTTGTGTTGGTTAAAAAATTGTCTTATGTTTTATTTAAAATAAAACAAGACAACTTGGTTTAATGACCAGTTTTAATGTAAGTGTTTAAACAAAACAAGAGGAAGAATTTCTTTAAATGTTTGTTTTAAAGGAAACATAAAACTTTTATGAGCTTTTAACCACATAAAAATGTTTTACTTTATCATAATACAAAGTTGTATTTTGACTGTTATAAGCATGTCTTAGTCAAATGTATTGTCATGCATTCATGGCATGACAACATGAACATTTATGTTTGTACTTACCACAAATAACCACTCACAGGCTGCAAATACACAAAGTCAGGTTGCTAATATTCAAAAAGGTTGTAGAGCAAATTCAAAAACAAACATGAAAGGCCATCATAAAGAACAGCAGCTGAGAATCAGTTCTGTCATTTTGAACATCAAATCAATGGACCAATTTCTATTATTAAGACATATCAAGGTCTACATTGAGTTGGGCTGGGTATGATTAAGAAGTTGCCGATACGATACATATCTTGATGCAGTGCACTTTCATTTCATTATTTCAAATCGATTCGGTTCGGTTTGATACGGTTCAATAAAAATAATGGCTAAATCATGGCTGTGATAAGTGTTTGTTAAACCACTTCTTATGCAAAGCTAATATGAAACACACGCATTTTACTCATCAAAACAGTGAATATGTCAAATGTGTTGCATAAACAAGTTTCTTTCGTCTAAACAAGCAACAAAACGGTAGCGCCCTAACAAACTAATTGAGTAAAATATACCAAAAAATAATCTTGACAATATATTAATACAGCAGCCCACGATATTGATACAGTATCATTACATTAGGCTACACGATATGGCAATATTTTGATATTTTTGCACACCCCTAATATTGAGATTTAAAATTAAGAAAATGTAAAATCATGATCTAGATCTGTGATGTCTAAAGTCAAGTTAGACAATGTTCCTTAACTAAATTGTGAATTAAATATAATAATATTAATTATTAAATTAATAAATTATTAATTAAGTTAAATATACAATGCTGTATAAAGGGTTATTTAAAAATTGTACTATTCCCCTTATTGAGGCATTTGGTATCAGGGGCATTGCATTGCCATTGCAAATCATCCTTGGTCTAGAGACAAGTGGAAAACGTAATTTTAAAAAGTGTGTACAAATTTCATACTGAAAGAACACAAGGTTAATTTCATGGTCAATTGTTTATGGTGATTAAATATATTTTAAGAGTTTCTTCATCAAGTGCTGTGTTTTCCTCTTCAAATCCACTGCCTTTTAGGGTGTCGTCGTTAGGGGCAACATGCAACCTGTCAAACTTGGTAAAAAGAAGGTAAATGTAGGGAGGACCTCTCATCATTGTTGTGTCTCATCAAATTAACCCTATTTTATCCTTCCTATTTAACCGTAAATCTCACCTTATCGCTTACATTATTGGTCTTTTCATGAAGGACCAGAACTACCAAAACTATAAATTAATCATTATGAAATCATCTAGAAATGTGAAAATGGGCAAAATAAATGTATTCAGAGTTGCAAACATTTTGAATTACGTAGTAATACATAAATGCATAACAACATCTAGAAAATAAACTTATTTTTCACTGCATACAAGGTTAAAATATTTTTTGTTTACTTATTTCAGAATTTATTTATTTAGACATTTGTTACTGTGTTCTGTGTTGAATCATGTGGGCAAGATCAACTTCAATCTGAAACTTGGTTGGTTAACAGTCTGGCCAATCTGGTTTCAGGTGAAAAGTCATTTCTCCCATTCAGTTTAAATAAATAATCATATTATGTGACAATAGGTAAATGCTCATTATTACAAATTTCTTAAAATATTTTGAATTTTCTTCCACATATTTACATTCCTTTATATTTTCTCAAAATGTATTTATCTATTCACAAATTTCTACATGAATTAATTTATGGATTTTTAAAAATGTTTGTTGTTGTTGTTAAAGAATAGCATCATCTTTTCATTCCTAAGAAATTTTTTTTCCCTAAAAACACCTTAATGACCCACACGATGCATAATAAAAAGCTATTGCAATAATATTGTATTTGTTAATTAAATCATTTACCCTTCATTTGATTTTCACAGGAGTCAGCTCTAGGTGAAACCGTACAGTCACCTTTGACCCCCGAAACCATAAATGGTACAAATGAGGAGAGAGCATCACCTGAGATGCAGCATGCAGAGACTAGGGCAGAGCCTACCCAAAATGCACTGCCCTTCTCTCACAGGTGAGCCAGATACAAGTTTTCTACTGTATAGTAAGAAATTATTTTGCTCTGTGCAACTCTAGTAACAGCCATTTCAGAATCCTATCCAAGTGGTGCATGTGCAACTTATGTCAAGTCATTCATTTTTTATTGATGGATTTTCTGAGGCCCTTAGCGCTTTCAGAACGCTGCAATAAAACACTATGCATGGTTCCTATGAATTATACAACTACTAAATGATGTGCCTCACATTTACTATTCTACTCAAGATTATATAGTTCTATATGATGTGTCAAATATTTTTGAAAGGTGTTTGTGTGAGGCAGTCCCCAAAGCCTGGGCCGCTTGCTGATACACCTCCCATATTTAGAGAAGGATCTGGTGAGGGTTTGTGTTACAGTGAAGGCATGTGAATGCAGGGGCTGTGCATAACTGATATTTGATAGTCTGCAGTTTCTCATGTTGGGAAAGGTTTTCTTATTGACATGCACTTTTCTAGTCACATGGTGTCCTTGTTTTGTTGCATTTGCACCAGCTCTAAGAAATGTTCTTCACTATCCTGCTCACAGCATTTTTAAAAACATATTTGTCTACTGCAGTTCATCCAGCATCAGTAAACACTGGGAGGCTGAACTGGCTGCTCTCAAAGGGAACAATGCTAAATTAACAGCAGCGTTACTGGAATCCACAGCCAACGTAAAACAGTGGAAACAACAGTTAGCGGCCTATCAGGAAGAGGCAGAGAGACTACACAAACGGGTACCATTCAAATCAAAACAACTACACTTTGAGAACATATTTATATTAACATAACAGTGATTTATTTTCTTTTTAACAGGTGACTGAGTTGGAATGTGTCAGTGGCCAAACCACAGCAATTAAAACTCAGAAGACCGAACTCAATAAAACGATAGAAGAACTAGAGTTGGCTTTGAAAGGCAAGGAAGAGGTATAGTACTTGAAAATGTAAACAGAAGTATGCCATAAAGATGTTTATTTATATTTAATATGTTTTATTTAGGAACTGGAGAGGCTCAAAGTTGAAGTTGAGAGTACTAATGTCTTTAATTCCCAAAAAGACTCCCTCACACAGAAATTACAGGTGAGCTGTACAGCACCATTTAACAAGCAACTCATAGATGTAATGTTACACTCATTATGACTGCAGGCATGATTAGTGATGGTGCTTTGTTTGTGGTTTGGTCCAGGACACAGAGAGCCGTAACCAGTCCTTGGAGGCTCAGCTGAGTGAGCTGGAGCAGCGTCTGGAGAGCACACAGATGGAGAGAGAGGCCTTTCGGAAGAGCCTGCGCTCCCTACTCCAGCTGTTGGACACCAAAATATTTGAGCTGACAGAACTGCGAGACTCACTTGCCAAGCTCATTGAGACTAGCTAGAGTCCATCTGTACCTGCACTTCTTTCACATGAAGGGAATGTGTCACTGCTGCCACCTTTCACCATGCTTTGGCATTGCAACATAAAAGAAGTCACTTGCGCCCTCTCCTGCATGTTGGAAGCCATAGCACCACACCACTGCACAGCACAGATCTGCCATTACAATGCCTGTTTTTGACATGCGAACTCAAAAGACTCAGTTTGAAAAAGATATTTTGTTGATCTCATTCTGCTCACCAATGACCAGTAATTAGTAGGTGAGAATTTTAAGAAATAAACTTTTACACATTTTACACATTATGTTGCACGCTAAACATTTGATTTAAAGTAAAATTAGACAGTTCCTCACCCTTCCTCCTTTTTACACGTTGCTCCCCTTCAGTAAATCACACTCATGCATCAAAGAACTCAAAGAACTACTAACTCTACTGTTGGGGACAATGTCTTATTTTGTTTTACAAATATATTAGCAATACTTAATGGGTGCACTGGAGTTGTTAATTTTGGTATCTCCTTTTTTAAAATCAGTGAGACCTTATTTGAAATCTGACTTGAGCCAAAAAAAAAGTTTATTTTACCAGTTTTATTTTTAACTATTTAATGATTTTTAACAAATATCAGTATGCACTTGTACAAGTTGTGTGACTCTTTGTTTTTTCCTACTATTTTTGTTGCAACTTGAATGACAATGATTGAATCCTTTTTGAATTTTTGCCATAACCAAATATCACAAGTTGTCACCAACAATAACTTAACTTCTGGTACATGGGTATGTTTTATATAGACTACAATATTTAATATTAATATTTAGCAATGGAATCAGCAGGTGGTTGCAGGTTAAAATGCATATTATTTTGCCAAATAATGTTGTCATGTACAGATTTGCATACCGCTGTTGTTGCCTTGGTACAGACATGCATCAATGGTAGCTAACTGAGATACTTTTCTTGGAATTTACTCTTGCCAAAAAGTCACTATTGTTTAACAAACTCAGTTTGTCTACCTGAAAAAGAAAAAAAAACACTTTTTAAGGGCTTCTTGTTATGGTACATTTGAGAGATATGAGTGACTGATTACAGTGACAATTACTGTTTCATAGCTTGAAAGGGAATTTGAATTATTTAAAATGTTGGTACATCACATGCTTAAAACACACATTGTAAGTTGACTTTATAGTAAAATGTATTAAAACTTGTACATTTCATGTGCTTGTTTAATCATAAATTGTGAGCACAAACTTGCAAAAACATTTTATTCAGAAAAAAGTAAAATGGATAAAATCTGGCAGCAAAAGACCAAAAAAGACTGACAACTAGTAAACAATGTAAAATGCAACAAACCATATAAAGTACATTTACAATTTTTATGCTTTAAAAATGTTCTTGAAATATTAGGCTTTTAATAAATACTTAAACATCTCAACATGCTTATATATTTAGTAATTTACACTTCATTACAGTAAAATCAGATTTCTTCATTATTGCACTTCTGATGTAATGGGTTTGTCAGCAAGTTACATGCATAATGTTACAGGTCAAACATTACAAACTAAAATGGAAACTTATGGATCATCATTATCATTACCCATGGAAAGAATACTCAACAAGGTTGTAAAATGGACATGGATACAGAATCTGTTATAAACTACTACTGTGTCCTGCATCTTTTACACATGTAAAAGACACATTCAGCCAAAAGTAAACAGAATGTACATAGAGAAAACACACACAGCAAACTCATAACTTCAGTAAAAATAAACAAAAGGCAGTTAAACTAAAATCAGAAATCTAAAGGCTACATTGTGTTTCCAGCAGAGGGCGTCTGTTTAAAATCTGTATTCCAACCATCCCACATGCTTTTCAGACCATAATCAGACACCAGAGGTGAGCTCCCAGTACTCCCACCACTACTGCAGATAACTATGTAATCATTACTGCGTGGTCAGATGTAAAATTTAATTTTTTTTTCAAATACTGACTTGGTCTCGAGAGCAGCACAGTATCAGAGTAGTAGGATGCGTTATTCTGCTGTGGGTGCCCAAAAGCACACTTTACATTTATCAACACACACAAACGTGGCACATTAACACACACAGGCAATAAAATAGTGACAAATGTTTTTAAGTAGGCATACTTGTGTTATGTAATTAATAGTTTCTACACTAAAGCAATTGTTCTGAATGAAAATTGGGCATTTAGCCTATCTTAAAAGTACAGTACGTTTACATTACAGTACATATGAATATTACAAAAGTTGACAGCAAAACATGTAAATCTTTGCTATTGGAAGAGCACAAACACTTGTTGCAAAAAACAAACCCATTACAGCGAGCAAAAGCACAGATGCCATGTAGACTGATATAATGAGAGGTTATCAGTTGTATCCTTGTCAAGATTTCCAACAACTTCTCAAACTGGGTTGTATAAAAAGTCATTTTTTGCAGATTTACAGCAGTAGCAAAATGCAATATCCTGTTGTCTTATAGAAAACTGCTTTGTTGCCTATGTACCCATCTTCTGATCACTCTGCATTTACTTTGTTCTCTGTGGCAATCTGCCAATACAAAGATATCAAGTTGATCTAGTAAACTAGTTTTCCCAGTCAGTGCAAGGAAGGCCTTCATCTTCAGACTCGGACTCTGGTGAAGCCTCCTTAATTCTCCTCAGTGCTTCATGAATGCTGCGTGTGAGTGCGTCAGTTGAATGAGAGAAAGTCTTTCCATGGCGTTGCTGCTCAGGGCGCGCTCTCACCTTTCTCAGTCGCACACCTTGCCTGATCTGGGCCAGAATGTTGTTGCTGTCATCATCTGGGTCAGGGGCCAAAACACGGAGCTCAGCCTTTCTCAAATGAAAACTGCCCCTCTTCAAAGAGGCCAGTACTTCATCCATGGGTGAGCTCGCTGTAAAAAAACAACAACTTTTCTCAGCCATAAACTTAGAAATCATACACAGTTTACAGACTTGCTAACCTCTTCTCCACTGTGATGAGTCCAGTGATGAAGTCTTCCTCAGTTTTTTCCTAGCTGTCAACAGCTGGCTGCTGTCAAAGAAGCGAGGAGAGAAAGGAGCTAGAGAGAGTGAGGGGCA